TGGCCACAACGTATTAAGATGGGAATTGTAATGGGTACAGCCATCATGCATAAAACAAGTAGTTATTCTTGTTCATTAATAATAGGGGAAAACATGTAAGATGAAATTACTGAAACCTTACAGAAACATGCGTGAATTTGGCCAATTCAGTACAGTTTCAAAAGGCAAGCTCTGCTTACCAACCATTATATTATTAAAAGATTGCAGTTCAAGTGCATACAGCCATTAAAAAAAAGTCAATCAGAATCCTTCACTTTAAATCTAAGTGTGAATCATTCAAATAAAAGGATGCGATGTTGAAACCTCAGTGAAACTATGAACTAAATACTGCTTACAGCTGAGAGATTTTTTGTATTTGCTCATTGGATGTGGGCATTGCAGCTCAGGCTAGGAATTATTATCCAAGTCAAATTGCACTAGAGAAAGTAAGCCACTATCTTGTACTGTTGCAATCAACGTGGTCTAGGTACACCCACAGTTCCGCAAGGGAGAGAGTGCCTATGTTGAAACACAGACAATGAAATAATGGAGATATATTTCCAAGCCCAGGTGGTGTATAAATTGGAGGGAAAACTGCATGTGACTATGTTCCCTAACATCTGAGGCCCTCATTGACCTACAGGCAGAGGTTTTGGAAGATGCTGCAGAAGAAACTTCAGTAATTTTCTGCAATGCAGATCCCACAAAAAGAATGATGTGAAAGTAGTGAAAAAAGTCCAGGTCAATCCCTTAGGATGTTATCAAGTATCAAGCATTAAAGCTTTCAAAAAAATTGGACCTTTTCTCGCATTGTGCCTGAAAAACAGCTGGACAGAGGTCTTCAAGATGCTGAAGGCTCAGAACATCTACATACCATCTACAAAAAAGACCCTGAGTTTCCAGTTGACTGCCACTTCAACATACCACCCTGTTCCCGGGCCAACATCTCTGTCTCAGGTTTGCTGCAGTGCTCCAGTGAAGATCAGCACAAGCTGGAAGAACAGCACCTCATTTTCCACTTTGGAACTCTCCAGCCTTCTGGACTCAATATTGAGTTCAACAATTTTAGGGCTTGAGCTGTCCTATGTCCTTTCCCTTACCACCACACTCCAGGCCTTGTTAACGCATTCAGAGATAGTAGGAACTGCAGATGCTGGAGAATCTGAGATAACAAGGTGTAGAGCTGGATGAACACAGCAGGCCAAGCAGCATCAGAAGAGCAGGAAGGCTGACGTTTTGGGCCTAGGCCCTTCTTCAGACCCTTTTTCTGAAGAAACTTCAGTAATTTTCTGCAATGCAGATCCCACAAAAAGAATGATGTGAAAGTAGTGAAAAAAGTCCAGGTCAATCCAGTAATTTCATCTTACATGTTTTCCCCTATTATGATGGTAACAGATTAGTTATATCAAGTCTGCATGGCAGTTCAAATATGAAGTTGACTGTCAAAGTCCATATTGAAGAGAGTTCACGTATTGCAAACAATTAAAGTCGTCATCGCCCCAGAGGTCTGCACTCTTGTTAGACGGAGAGACAATTAGTGATGAGCTTAATCTGAGGGTCACCGTGTGGTAAGGTTGAGAAGGAGGGACTTTCATGGTAGCCTGAGCTGGTAGAGGAATTGAACCCGTGCTGTTGGTATCATTCTACATCACAGACCAGCTGTCCAGCCAACTGAACTGGCTGACCCCGATTGGAGACAGTTACATGGTTGTTGAAAGAAATATTGAAAGATGTTGAAAGAGATATTAAAGCATATGGAAAGCAAAGCAGGATGGTTCCATTAAGTTAGGTGGTTCATGTGAGGAACAACAACAGCAAGGACTGGACTGAGCCCAGTGCCCAATAAAATTGTGCAGTTATGAGGTACAAGACCTTACCATGGTATGAATACGTTGAAATTATGCATTACAGGTTCTGATCAGGGAATGAGAGAATCTTTTGATAGAGACTATAATATATAACTGTACATATAGGCTCAGATTCTGCTTGAGCAGGACGTCTCATGCTTTGCCAATTTGTCAAGACTTGGTTGGGCTTCAAAAACTTTCTGCCCACAGGTTTGATGTAACTGAGAGTTGGTGACATGGAGTGAGAGCAATAGAGCAGCTGGGACCTTGGTGAATTGAGTCTACTGGTCACAGTTTACTACATTTCTGTGTTTTCTATTAGAAGCAAATTCCAACATTTTGCACTAGTCACCTATTTGCAGAACATTATTACATTTAAAGGTAACCTTGGTTCTAATAGCCACCCAATATGGGACACCACTACAGACTTCCCTCTTGCCTGAAACATTGTCTACTCACCATTATTCTTGTTCCTTAAACAATTTTGCACCCATACAGCCATTTGCCCTTTGACCTCATGAGCTTAAATTTGTCTAACAAGTCTATTGCGCAGTAAGCTATTAAATGCTGTTTATTAGTCTACGTTCAATATTTCAGCCATATTATCCACATCAAACATCTCCATTAATTGATTAAATAACTTAAGCGAGCTTGTCAGATGTGTCAGAAGTTCAACTTGGTCCGCCACCATCTTCATGGTTTCACTGGGGATAAGTAGGAAATGCCAGATTTGCCGATGATGTTCGCATTTGAAAATTAAGTTAATGAACAATATCCAGCACAATTTGAAGATTTTAGGATTTATTAGAGATTAGTGAGCCAACAGAATGGAACTATTTGTGGGTGGTACGTGAAACCACAATTATTAATATGGAACCTGATGAAAGAGATCTGGTAAGTGCTTTCTGGGTTGCTAGCAACATTTTCTGTTCAGCACTCCATACAAAATAGAATATCTACTTTCCCTTTAAAAAACATGTTCCTTTGTCTACTAACTTTAATGTACTGAATTTGCATCAGGAAGGGAAAATAGCAGGCAGCTATAGTGATTACAGAAGTGGGGACATGCCATTGAACATGGCCCTCTGAGACAAAAACCCTATCAAAATAAAAAAAATTAAGAACAACGGGATAATGAGTCAGATCATTTTCCTAGTGATTCACACCAGAATTGGAATGTAGTGCCACTGGTCTATCACAGAACTGTTAGAATGCAGAATAGGCCAATCAATCCAGCATATTAGCACTGGCTGTCTGGACATTTCAACTTGGTGCCAGTCCTCTGCCCTTTACCTCATACATTGTTTCTATTTAATCAGCCAATGCCCTCTTGAATGTCTCAATTGAACTTACCTATGCCACATTTCCAGGTAATGTGTCCCACATCCTAATTACTCACCTCGATTTACTTCTATTACAAAACAATTTAAAAGTATGCTCTTTGATTCTCAACCAGCTTTCAAGTGAGAAAAGTCTTTTCATAAAAGTCACAGTCAACCATAGTCCTGTGGGTCTGGAGTCATATGTAGGCCAGACCAGGTAAGGATGGCAGTTTCCTTCCCTCAAGAACATCAGTGAACCAAATGGGTTTTTCCAACAATTGACAATGGATTCATGGACATCATTAGATACTTAATTCCAGATTTTTACTGAATTTAAATTTCACCATCTGCCATGGCAGGATTCGAACTCTGGTCCCCAGAACACATCCTCGGTCTCTGGATTAACAGTCCAGCAATCTACACAGATAGGACAAATCTAATGCCACTTGAATGGAAGGATAAATTTTAAAAAATGCTCCAAAATCATTGGGAACTACACTTGATACATGGAAAATATCTGACAAAACTACCTGGCTTTTTTTGAGCGGAAGTTGATTATTTACAAAGACCTTTGCATCACTCTAGCCAATAAAAGAAACTAAACAGAGCACCCCCTGCAGCAGAATACATGTGAAAAAACATTTCTTAAATACTTTTTTTTTAGCCACCAAATGATCAACCATTATTCTTGTTATTATTTTGAATTGATATTCTGGCAATTTGGAGTCAGTGTACACATGATGGGCTGAATGGCCTCCTTCTTCATCACTTGTATGATTCTGTGATGATAATCAAGCACGATATTGGTGACCAGTCTATTCCAAGGCAATGCAGGGACTAACCATTTACACTTCGGATGAAGATGCAAATTTCTGACCAATTTTCTATTCTTTTACCTGCATTATTGTCTACAGCCAAGTACATTTCTTCAAGTATAGAGTACCTGTGGAAAGAGGCGTAGGCTATATTACTTTGAAATATAATAATTTTCTCATTTGTGATGGAATATTTGTAAATGTTTATTTTTAAAAAGAAGGCAATGGACTGTATGAGTCATGATATAGCAGTGGATCGATGCCTTGAGCCTATTAGTGGTGACAGAAAAAAATGTACTCAGTTTTCAGCAAACTTGTAAATTGTCAGATATAACTGGTTTATCAGACCTTAATGGCACAGCTATAATCTAGCACTAATGGCCCGGCAGTAGGTAAGAGGGTTGCTATAGTAACCTACCTTTGAATATAAAAATGTCTTTCTGTCATGTTAACAGCCCATAATTCTAATTGTTGCAGTCTTCTGAGGGCAGAGTTAAAAGTCTAGACTGCAGTTGGCCATCTGCTTACATTCCAGGAAGTTTAGTTTATTTCAAACTAATTGCTCCTTCACCATTGACACCATGTGCCCGCATTAAGTGCTCTGCTTAAAAAAATGTATTTGATTGATTTGGGCTGGATACAGTCCCCGGAGTGTACTGGCCATATCAAGACTCGGGTTAAAGTAATTCGCCATCCATCAGCCCATTTTCAGTTTCTGTTTCTACTCACACAGGTCCCATCCCGGTTTTGGCAATTGATGTGTGATCTTAGGTTACTTACTGCCCTCCTGACCAAAACAAGTCAGAGACTCATGACTTCACTGCTGAGAATTTAATGGATTGTTAATTGGTCCTATCACTTTAACGTTTAATACATGTTGTTTCCTTGCCTTTGTCCTCACAGGCTAACACAGTTTTCTGTATGGCTGTTGATCAGCCTCAACTGATTGCAAACTCTTTGAATGGCAATAAAAAGCCAAATAAATCTTTTGAACTGAAGCAAGGCGAGAGTGCCAACTCATTCCATGTGAGACGGGCATGGCAAACGTACGGAAGGCGATGCTGCAGGAGAACGTTTTCACTCCAAAAGGAGAAAAGCTGATGCATGTTCTGCAAATACAGGTATCTGAAGGAAATGAGGATTACTGCTTGTGCCTCACAGGTAGTCAATGAGATGGGGAAACTTTCTTTTTCTGTAATGAAGTAAACTGTTTTACCTGTGCACTAAATTATAGCTCTCTCAAAATATAATTTTTGAGGGATTTTAATAATATAACCTTTCCTGCAATGCATCTTTTTGTTCCTAAATTAGTTACCAGGGATGAAGATGTTCAGATTACCTTTTTGAAAATCTTACCTAATGGGCTTAAAGAGAAATACATGACTCAGGCGGTCTGGTTCCTAGAAGATTTAACAGTGGTGGATGGAAGAGATGCGACTGCAGTAAGGATTCTAATTCTCATTTTTCCTATCTTGTTACTAAGTGAGATAACCTGAACCTGGTGGAAAAACCATTCAGACAAATTAACAATGAAGATATGCATGCATCGTAGTAAATTGACCACATTAACATAGTTATGAACGTATCCAAAGTTAAAAAAGTATATACTTTGATGAATTTGCTTGTTTTCAGAATGTAGCTCGACTGTTTGCAGTGATGCTAAGTGGATCTCATATACAGTGGTTAGCTTTCTCGCAGGGAAGCAATAAACACTTCATTGTCTGTGAGAAACAATTGAATACTGGAGGAATGTACATCACAATGCAGATACAATAAGTGTAAAAACAATGTATCACTGTTGAATGTTCTCTGGTATAAAAGTGTTGCATATTGTATTTACAGAAGTGGAAGTTTTGTATTATGCTGTTAAAGAGTTTCAGAGGAATATTCGGAATGGGCAATTAATTAATAAAATGTAGTTAACAATAGATTGTCCATTCAAACATTCAGTTAAATATCAGCATGATGAGGTTGTGCAAATAGGTAAAGAAATCCGTAGCAAAGGATTGTGTTGCTATATATCTGAGCTCCTTATTAGAATTGCAGTGGTTAGTTTGAATGATAAGTTTATAACAATAGTTTGCAATATGATTCCATTTTACCATCTTTATAAAGACTTAATCTCCTTTAGAGAATCATACAGACATCCCAAACATTTTTTTAAAAAATACATAAATTGTTCATTCAAATTTTAGCAACTAAAAATAAATCTAAAATTACTCTAAAATTGAAATGCTAGTTCATGAAAACATTGCTGCCATTTGTTCATTTTGACTCATTAATTAAACTCTGCACTCTGATTTTAAATGAAATAATAAATTGCTAATTGTTTAAACTTTCTCAAATCCTTGCACACTATTTCTGTCCAAATAATCATCTAATGCTCTCTAGGTGCACTGACTAAAACAAGAATATCATAATCTGACATTCCAATATTCTTATCCAATGACTGGTGTTTGCCTGGGACACACTTTAGTCAAGAAAAAGAAATGGATTGTTTGTATCCTATAGACTACTAACGTTATTCTGGGTGTCAACTGTGTTATGATATTGCTTTTAATACTTTTTTGGTGGCGCAGAACTTGAGTATTGTAGAAAAAAGACACATTTTGTCAAAACTCTTATCTTCTGTCTTGCTCTTATCAGGACATTCTGAAGAATATCAATGTGAATGGAAACAATATTTTACATTGCATGACAGGAGAGTACTGATTGTTGCCAAGTAGACTTTGAATTACAGTGACAACCAATTTAAGATTATCAGTCGCACTTGCTTGGAAGTGCACTTGCATGCACTGGAAGCTGTATATATTAAAATACAAGGCCGTAACAAAAACAGAAACATCTATTTTCTGATTCATTCTTCAGGACAATGACTTGACAATCAGAATTAATGTCAGAGATAGTAGGAACTCAGATTAATCAGAATTAATGTGCCTGGTTTAAACTGAAAGTTTCCCAGTTAACTATTGGTCATCATCATCCAGCAGGTGTATTCTCCATTCCACAACCTTGACAGAATCCTCTTGCCAACCAATGAACATAAGAGGAGGTGACAGTCTGGTGGTATTATTGCTGGGCTGTTAATGCAGAGACCACCCCCCACCCAAGGTAATGTTATGGACACCTAGGTTTGAATCTGGCCACAGTAGGCGGTGGAAATTGAATTCGATTAAGAATCTACTGATGACCATGAATCCATTGCCATTGCTGGGAAAAACCAATCTGGCTTGCTAATGTCCTTTATGGAGGGAAACTGCCTTCTTTACGTGGTAGGCCTACATGTGACTCTAACATTGACAACAATGTGCTTGAATCTCAACTGCACTCTGGGCAATTAGGGATGGGCAATAAATGCACAGGCAATCACTAGCCAGTGATCAGCTCATCTTGTGAAGGAATTAAAACAAAACTCTCTCCCCTCACAGAATAAAATGCTGTTCCCTTTTTCACTGATTTCCTTGCAAATGTCTTGATGAGTACATGACAAAACTGTATGTATTTTCAGCAATACTCAAATCCTGCTTTTAGTCTGTTTGGAAATTCAAAGAATGCGCACCTTCTGGATTTTTCAACTGTTGTAATTAATGTGTACGTGTAGAAAATACATTTGAATGACAATGGCTTTAAGTCTCACTATCTTACATTTGAAAAGGATAGTTCTATAATCCTGAAAGCCACAGATATTGAACGAACAAGATGTAGCCAACCAATTACCACAGGAAACATTTGGAAGCTGTTAATGACAAATGCAACAAATCTTGATGCAATCATAATCAGCCCTCAAATGGGAAGACTCCTGGCTTGTGCTAAATTTGACCTTTCTAGGACACAATTTGAAATAAATTCTTCTGTTTTAAGTGTTCAAAGTGTTACCCCTCCTTAGCTTAATTCATACAATTAAAGCTCTGTTATGTTCCTATTTGTGTCTTGCACACAACACATTTTTCAGTTTACTGCTACACGCATTGAGTGAGTTTATTTCTGACAAAACATTCACTTCAATTATTGTCCACTTGAAGTAGGTAACTTCCATCAAGGAGGAGGGTAGGAGATGTAGGATCGTTATTCTTGTCAAATCATTCACAGAATGTGAGTATATTTGTATGGATGGCATTTGTTGCCCATCCCTTGTTGTTTAAATGTGGTGCTCATGAGTCATTTTCTTTAACATTGCTGAGAAGCTCGCAAGGCCCTTATTGGGAAGCTCAGCATTAACTACTTATGCTGGGTCTGGAGTCACATACAAACTAGATAAAGTCAGGGCAATAGATTTCCTTTTCCAAGTCAATGAATCAATCTGATCATTTAAACAACCAGGCAATTTTACACAATCACAAAATTGTTATGGCACAAAAGGATGCAAATTGTACCATTGTGCCTGCACTAGTTCTTCAAACAAGCGTCATTACCTAGTGTCAATTTCCTGCTTATTCTCCATACTCTTGCACAATATTTCTATCAAAATTATCATCCAATGGTCTCTGGAATATCTCAATTGAACGTGTCTCCAGCACACTTCCAGGCAGTGCATTCCATACCTGAACTACTTGCTGAGTGAAAAGGTTTTTCCTCACATCATTCTTGTTTCTTTTGCACATCAGTTTAAAGCTATGCCCTCTCATTCTTGTTCCTTTTATCAGTGGGATCATCTTCTCCCTATTTACTATACATGTCCAACTTATCATTCTGCTAACTTTTAATGAATCTCCTGTCTGCCTTCTTTTCCCCAAGGGGTACAGTCAAATTTTTCAATTCATGAAGTTTGTCATTCCTGGAACTATTCCGGTAATTTTCTTCTGCACTCTCTCCAATGCATTCACATCTTTCCTATAATGTACTACCCATGACTGTACACAATACGCCAGCTGAGGTCTAACAAGTGTTTTATGTTTGTTCATCATTACTTCCTTGCTCTTGCACTCTATGCCCCTATTAATTATGCAAAGGACACTGTATGCTTTATTAACAGCTTTCTTCACCTGTCCTGCCACCTTTAATGCTCTGTTTCATCATCGCTGTGACCAATGCTCATATTTTATTCTATGTTTTATTTAATTAATTACATATTGGGGTTGTCTGCCGATAAATCGGCCTTCTGGATCACTAATCTAGTGGCATAACCATTATGTTATCATAACCCCAATTCATGTTAGGCATCATAACTATCAAACCCTGTTCCTTGGTGAAAGAAAATGCAGACGTAAGATCACAAATGACCAATGATCTAAAATCTCTGCACGTTGATCCAGGTACTCCTATGCAAGGGCTGTGTGATAACTTTCTGGTAACTAATTCATTCTAAAGCTTTGCTGAATCAGTAATTAGTGAGCCAGTAGAAATTTAAACTGATACAGCACCAAATCTTTTTCTGTCAAAATCACAGCCTGAAAGTTTCAACTGGGATTGCAAATTTTATGAAAGATTATGGGACATATCCAAATTTTAAAGAAGATGGGTTCTTATTGGCAATGGAATACAATTTGTCAAAAAATACTTCCAGAAGCTGCGCATTTCATCTGCAAGGATTAGATAAATCCAGTAACATATGTGAGTTTTCAGTTTGTTTCCAAGAAATATTTCAATAAGCAATCACTCTGAGGTTAAAAAAAACTTTGCTTGCAAGCAAGGCAGAAAATATATTTAAAGATTTCACTGTGGATAATTAGGAAATGATGTATTGGGACAAATTTAGCAAGATAACAGACAGCATGGTGGTTCAGTGGTTGGTTCACTTAGCTAGGTCAGCTTTCATACATAGTTGCTTTGTTTACATTTAAAATAGTAGCCTTAGACAAGCCTCAAACACTCATTAACATGCTGATCCACTGGAATGTACTTGCACAGATACAACCGTCTTAGCCAAAAGAGAGAACACCAGTATTCACAAATCTGATACATAGATGAGTCATTTACCTGGTGGGCTTGCTTCCTGCAAGCTCTGATGAATACAAGCTTTTTTAGTTACTTGGGTCCTTCACAAAAAGTAAGAAGTCTCAGTTGTAGGAGATATTAAGGGCTGTAGATGCTGGAAGTCAGAGTCGATAAAATGTGTTGGGGAAGTGTTAGAGTCTATAATCAAGGATGGGGTGACTGAACACCTTGAAAATTTTCAGTTAATTAGGGACAGCCAGCCTGGATTCATGACAGGTAGGTCATGCCTGACAAAATTCAGTGAATTTTTTCGAAGAGACGACTAATGTAATGGACAGGGGAATGACTATGGATGTCAGTTCATACGGACTTCTAGAGGCATTTGATAAAATTCCATAACAGACTGTTAACTAATATAGAAGCCCACAGAATCAAGGGAAAATTACTCGTATGGCTACAAAATTGGTTGAGTGGTAGGTGGCAAAATTTAGGGTGATAGTAGGTAGGTACTCAAATTGGCAGACATGACCAGTGGTGTCCCACAAGGATCTGTGTTAGGACCTCAGTT